CTCTGTATGGCACCGAGGGTGTTTGCTCAATTTGGGGCGCATGCTGTACCTTGGCAGCCCACTCGCAGCATCATTCAAGACTTGCGAAATGGAGTGCGATTCGGACAGTGCCTTACCCATTTTATCCTGGAGAAGTTGAGCGCGGCGAGAATAGCTGCATCACAGCGGATCTGGGCCGATGATTTATATGTTGGGCATGTGGGCTCGAGAGCAGCAGTTCGTAAGGCAGTGATCAAAGGTGTTGCTCTCATTCGCGATCAGGTGCAGAAGGGTGGACTCAAGTTGGCACCCAAGAGTGGTACTCTGTGTGATAGTATGCAAGGCAATAAGCAGATCAGTCGGATTTTACGGCGACGCGGCATGGGCAGGTGAGTTACCTGGGCATGGACCTGGGTGGCGGTCGGCGTCTGGCACGTGCGTTTCGGAGTCAACGGGCTCAGAAGGCGACCGCTTGCAATCGACGGCTTCGAAGACATGCTTTCGCCTCCAAGATTTACGAGGCGACCAAGCTTATTGAGTTCGCAGGGCCGCAGTCAGCGGCCACCTATGCTCACCAGGTGCATGGGACGTTTGGATGGCGGTTGCAGAATTTACGCAGGCAAGTTTTGGTCGGTAGCAGGAGCGCATCAACGCGGACGGTGCTTGAAAACGCTGTCAGATGTGCGTGCTCCTGAGCAGGATCCTGGCGTACGGTTGCCGCAGCTGTGTTTACACCAGTGGCTTCGGACATGGATCGATTACCCTTCCATTCGAGCTGGCGTTCGACGAGCGTGGGCGAGCATGGTTCAGCACGTACGGAGCCTCACTGTGCAGGAGAGGAGCATGCGCGTGCATGGGCCGATTTCCGCTGTCATCACTTATCTGGTCAACGCTGGATGGGATCCTAAGTCACCTTCGCACTGGAGTCGGCCCGACGATTTGGGGCTTGAACCAGTAGACTGGATTTTTCCTGATAGCAGCATCGACAGTCAGTGCGTTGACACTGGTGACTTCTTGATTGATTTTGGCCAGAGTCTGGACCATCAGCAGTGGCAAGAAGCTGCTCAGCTGCATCATGGCACCGGCTTGGAGTACGGCTCTGTATGTGCCTTCGGCGCAGAGAAGCACCAGAGGACATGCGTCATCGGGGGCGGCTTTGCACAGCCAACTCTGGAGCCAAAGCATTCTCAGATTCCGAAAGTCTGGTTCCCTCGGCTTTGACGCAAGGAGATAGTGACAGTTGCCTGTGGTATCGAGGCCTCATCCCGAGAAGGCTAACCATGACACCTGCACCTGCCAACTTCTGAGAATTGGGTTGGAGTTGATCTGATCGGCCCGAGTGTTGAGCCTGGTTGTCTTGGTTCTGGGACGGTTGACAAACCACTGCTGATTTTCGGAGACGCTTCAGGAAGCCCCGACAGCAGGTCTTCTTCCGTGAGGCGCGTGGATCTTGGGCTCGTGGTCATGACCGATCCAATTTCTTTGAGCTTGGGCCCAAGCTGGGAGGATCACTCACTGTGCGGCTACAAACTGTTCCGAGAGGTGACTTGCGGTGCTTGGAGATGGTCAGCCGGTGTTCTGCAGGGCCCACAGTATTCATCTCTGATAATGATAACGTTGTTCGAGGCTGGTGCGCCAGGCAGTATTTGTGGGAGAAGAAGAGCGCCATGAACGGACCGTGGGCAGAGATCGGAGAGCTTCTTCGGCGACGAGACCCCAGCGAGATCGTGGTGCTTCAAGTACCGTCACATCTTGGTGCGCATGAGGCGTGCGAGAGAATAATTCCAGGTTGGCTCATTCACGGTAATGCAGCGGCTGACGCCATCGCCAATGATGCCCCCCTGAGGTGTAGGTTGCCTGATTCTGTTCGTGCCAGGATTGTGGAGGTGGAAGGGCGAGTTGCCCTGGTTAGGCGGAGGCTTCTCAGAGCGACCCTCGAGGCCACGATTGCGGAGCGCGAGGATGCGAAGATAATTGCGCCCGACGCGCGCGACCGTGTCCCGTCGGTCCGTGCCCCGCCGCCGCCTCCTCCTGCCGCAGTGGCCAGGTTTAGAAGCGTTCACACGCTTAGCGATCGTGGCTCTTCGTGCACTACGTGCCATAGTAGTGGTACCAGATCTACTCTCCAAGAAAGGCTTGACTCGCCGTGCGCACCTTTAGAGCCAGGTGATCCTGTCATCTTTTAAGGGGCCTACGAGTAAGCTGCATATAGCTGGGGGGCGGGCTCGTGAATCCCATTGGATGTTGTTTCATCAGTCACTCAAGGTCTGGATCTGTGGGGCTTGCGGGCTCAACCTACAAGCGGGGCTCAGACAGGAGTGTCTTGGGTCGGACTGTCTCAATGACACTAGGAGGTCAGACCTTGACCGGTTCCATTGACACCCCCAAGCCTTTCAGTGCAACTGAGCGGGCTGCGCGGCGGAAGCCTGGGGGGTAGATCGTCATGCTGCTATCTAGATATATATATATATATGTATATATATGTATATATATATATATATATATATATATATATGTCCTCCTCCTCCTCCTGCTCCTCCTTTTTCTTTTCCTCACAAATAACTTCCCCCTGTCGCACCCCGAGGCCAGTCGAAAGGGCGGACTGGGCATTCCGCCTGAGACCTCCTCACCACTTATGACCCTGAAGCTTAAACAATGGCAACCGTTTCACTGATGGAGGGCGGGCGGCGTTCAACATGTAGCTCTCGCCTTGGCGCCGAGAACATTCGTTCTCAAAATGTGCAAGAGTTTCACGGATTGAGGGCGGCTCCTTTCCACAATGTGGCTCTCGCGTCTGCGCCGCCTACATTCCATTTTAAAACTTGGAAGAGTGTCACGGATTCCCATGGACAACGTACCAGGAATGCTGCTTTGCGGTGAAGTCCCAGGAACGGCGTTCTGGCACGATTCTGGATCGCCAAGACGCAACAGTCTGGTTGATCCGCGGCGTTGGAGTCCCGAGAATAATGTTTTGGCATGTTTCAGGGTCTTCAAATGGTTGTCCTCCAACGAGGCAATTCCCTGTGGAAATGAATCCTTGTAAGGGCCTGTGAAGAGGGAGTTTAGAGGGAGGGTTAATTCCAACTGGTCCTCTTTCTCCTCCTCCTCCTCCTCATCCTCCTCGCGTTCCCTGAATTCACTCACACTCTCTCATACGTAGACCGGCTCAAACTCAGACTCACTCGCCCTCAGGCTCACTCATACTCAGACTCACTCGCCCTCAGACTCACTCACACGCAGACTCACCCCCACTCAAACTCAATCACACTCAGACTCACTCACACTCGGACTCACTTACACTACTCAAGCTCGGATGTACACACATTACTCCTACGATGAAATTATCATAGTCGTGCTCACAACTTATCGCATTCATGCTCGCTCACACTCAGACTCATGCGTAAGTAGACCCACTCGTACACATGTCCGTGCAGATTGGGAGAGTGTGTCGAGACAGGTGCTGGCTTCAGCACTCCCAAGGGGGAGCCGCAAGGGGGTATGTCAATGGCCCGTTCGTGCCCAGATTGTGGGAGTGCCTCAGGCGGTGTCCCTGTTTGGCGATCTGGACTTAGGTGCTTTCAGAACAGATTGTGATATGAGGATGTTTCGAGCGAGGCGCTGGTTTCAGCACTCACAGGGGGGAGCCGCCAGGGGGTATGACAATGGCCCGTTCGCGCAAAAATGGTGGGAACGTCTCAGGCGGTTTGCCTATTTGGTGGCCTGGGCGTGGGTGATTGCACAGCAGATTGTCAAGATGGTTCGAGCGAGACGCTGGTTTCAGCACCAAGTGCGCCCCACAGCGCGTCAAGAGCGCCCCACGAGGCGACGTTTTGGGCTCCAGAAGGGCGATGCGGATGAAGGCTCCGCCTTCTTTTGATCGAACTCCTCCAAGATGGCCTCAAAATTCCCCCAAGGCTCCCCATAATGCCCCGAGAGGGCCCCAAAAAGGGCGCAGGAGACCCTAAGAGGCCCCCAAGAAGTCCCGAAGGGGCTCCCACGAGATCCCAAAGAGGCCCAAAGAGGCTCCCCCGAGACACCCAAGATGCTCCAAGAGACCCCATGGGACCGCCAAGAGGCCCCCAAGACGCCCCAAGAGGACTCCAATACATTCTCAAGAGACATCAGGGGAGACTCCGATAAGCATGCAAGAGGCCTTCGGCCTTTCTGCTCACCCTCCTCCTCCTCCTCCTCCTTCTCCTCCTTCTCCTCCTCCTCCTCCTCCTCCTCCTCCTCCTCCTCGTCCTCGTCCTCCTCATCATCATCATGCCCGACGATGGTATTGCCGAGGCCAGGTCGGAGTATGTTAGACAGCAAGAGGCAGCACCGTGAACGACACTGGGGCCGGCAAGAGAGATAATTCATCAAACGAGTTAGTGCTCTGGCGAACGGCCCCACGGCCACGGCGAAGCCTTGCAGCAGCAACAGGGCGGGAGGGTGGGAGCTCGAGAGCCGAAGGCTGTTGACAAGAGACAACGCATTCTGCATTCGGCCTCTCCCTTCCCCTCTAAAGGCATTCATCTTCAATAGACAAGTCCATGCCCGACGATGGTATTTCCGAGGCCAGGTCGGAGTATGTTGGACAGCAAAAGGCCGCACCGTGAACGACACTGGGGCCGGCAAGAGAGATAATTCATCAACTGAATTAGTGCTCTGGCGAACGGTCCCACGGCCAAAACATCCCGAACAATCCGGAGGGCTACTCCTCTGATGTTAGCTGCCTAGCCAGAGCGGTGTGACTGACAGCACCTCGGAGTGCAGTCTGGCACCGACGAGCGCGCGAGCCCATCGTCTCGCGAGCGTCTCGGGATAGGCCTGCGCCACTAAAGTCCACAAGGGCCTTCCAGGAGCTTTTCCCCGTAGAATCTGATGAGGCTGACCAGTCCTACTACAACAAATACGAGAGCCAGTGCATAAGCGAGCGAAAACCGAGACATCAACACGATAACCTAGGATACCAGTCGGCTTTTTCCACGCTGTCCCATCTTGGCAAACATGTGTGGCAGCCCTGAAAAATTATGTGCTTACGACAGCTTTGCAGAGACCGAATGAGCCACAGCCTAGACATCGCGGGATCTCCACTGTAAGTGGGATCTGCAGACGCTTACAACTGGCCCGAACATTCTCGCTGCATCTCACTCGCTTATTGGCGGTGGTGATCTGAGCCCGGTCCACTGGGCGCGTCACAGCTGCAAGCCCCCAGAGCTCTGAGTCGGAGCGGAGACGGCTCGGCCAGGACGGAGGCCCGCCTGGCACGCGCAGCGGTCCTGTCTCGGACTCTGGACCATGTCTCACAGGGCGCGCCGAAATGCATGTCCCAGATCAGGCCGGCGCCCAACCAACCCCGCAGCACGCGGGAGACTTTCAGGTCAGCGAGGTCCCAGTCGGCGCCCCGGGCGATGTCCCATTCGATGGCCAGGGCGCCCTCGCACCGCAAGGCTGCTGCCAGCACGCCTTCGCCGGAGAAGACCTCCACGAAGATCGGCGGCGCCAGGAAGCGCCTGCGGCGGGGGCCCAGCAGCCTCCTCAGCGCCAGCCGAGGAGAGAGGCCAGCCGTGCTGGGGCCAGCAGGGCCGCACGCTGCACCTCGGGCGCCAGCCTCTGCAGCTGCTCGTTGACGCGGCCTGGCTTGAGGTAGCGCGCGACCGACGCGTCGGTTCGCCAGCGGCCGCGGAGCCTGACGCTGGCCAAAGTCCGCACCTGCAGTGCCAGCTCCACCGACGGACCTGAGTGCCGCAGCTGGCGCAGCTGCGGGGTGATCGACGCCAGCCCCATGTCCTCCGCCGACTCCTTGAACAGGGAGCTGACGCGCACGATGGGGAACGGGAACAGCGGCTCGCTCGGGTGGGTCGCCGCCTCGAGCCAGCGGGGAGCGCTGGGCAGGAAGCTGTAGAAAGGCAGGTCGAAGGGGATCACCTCGTCGTAGACCTGAGTCATGCTGGGCGCTGACAGCTCGCGAGGATGGAGCACGAGTGACCAGCCGTCGCACGCGCCCCCCGGCGTCGGGGGGATCACGTGGGCCCCCAGGGCCCACGGCGCCTCCGACGGCCGCGGGTAGCCCGCGAAGGTTACCAGCACGTAGAGGGCGACCCGCAGCTGACCCCGATCGATCAGGCGAGTCGCGACGAGCGCCACGATCTCCCAGGGCAGCGGGAGCCTGGTGCGAGCTGGCACTCGCCCCCGCCAGCCTCGCAAGGCCTGCAGAGCCTTCGGCAGCCCCTGGCCCCCGCGCCCGAACTGCGGCACCATGAACTTCAGCGCCGCCAGCATGTAGGCCCCGCGCTCGGGGTTCCAGCCCTCGGCGCACTGCTGGTCCATCCAGTGCGCCAGCAGGTCGTCCGCCGTCTCGGCGAGGAGGGCCGCGGTCACGGTCGTCATCCAGGCCACGAACTCGGCCCAGAGGCGCGTGTACTTGGCCCTCGTGGTCGCCGAGATCGAGAGGGCCCTCAGGACGTGACCCGCCGAGGAGCGAAGGGGGGCTGCCTCGGGCGCTCGCGCCGCGGCCCTCCCCGCACGCTTGGCGGCCGCCTCCGCCGCCTTGGACAGGTGGCTGCGTCTCGCCCGGCGCTGGCCTCGCAGCGAGGCCGTCGCCTGGCTGGGGCGCCCCGTTGCTGCCTGGCGCGGGGCCGTCGCCACGAGCGGCGCTGGCGTCAGCACCTGCCTGTCCGCCCTCCCGCGCGGCGGCCAGACTGGCGACAGCATCCCAGCGCAGCCGCGCGCCGATCCTCAGCGCCCGGCGGGAGGGCAGGTCCGCCGGGTTCGCCTCCGACGGGATCCACCGCAGCGCCGCGGTGACCCCTCCTGCCACCACGAGAGCGGCCCACTGCGGCAGACGCGCGCCATCCTCGGCCGCGAGGGGCGGCCATTGGTCAGAGCCAGGACGGCGACGAGACTGTCTGAGAGGAAGAGGACGCGATGGCCATGCTGCCCGGCGTCCCGGAGGACGTGCTTCAAGGCGTGGATTAGGCCCCCCCCCCCTCCAAGGCTGCGACGTGCCCCCCCTCTCCCAGGCCCCGCTCGAGATGACCACCCAGCCCCCTGAGATGCGATGCACTTCCAGAGGCTCGAAGTCGGTCTCCTGGGGCTCCGCGTGCGCGCGTGGGGGGGGGGGGGGGGCTGCCTGTGTCCACGGGGGCGATGGGCTCCTGGATGCACGACGGGGCGCTGCAGACGTGACCTTTCGAGGGCGGCTCGGAGTAGACGAGGGCCTCCAGGGGCTCGAGGGGCTCGATGAGCTGCTCCCGGGGCGCCCTCGCACTGGGGTCTCGGAAGCGCCAGCGCTCCTGGATCCTGCCCATCCTCTCCGCCACGTCGTTGCTCATTTCACGCTCGCATACCCCTCGGCCCCGCTCGGAGGCGTCCGCGCGCAGAACTCGGCCCAGCCAGCGGGCCCGGAGGTCGGAGTGAGCCAGCGGGACAACCCCCATGGCCCACGTCAGCTCTCGGCGCACGCTGGGCCACCAAGGCCTAGGCGCCCCACCGGCCCTTGCGATGAAGCGGCACACGGCCGAGAAAACTGCCGGCAGCGGGCGCCTCACCATGAAGAGGAAGGTGTAGTGGCCCACGACCTGGCGCACCTGCTGGGCCGAGACCCTCGGCATGGCGAGGAGCGCGCGCGTGGCCAGGATGATCCTCTAGGCTCCCCGAGGCGAAGGCGCGACTGCTCCCGCGCGCCATCGATGACCCAGCCCAGCACCTGCGCGTGGAGCGAGGCGGCCCCCCCCCCATGCACCGGGAAGCCCTCGCTGCGCAGCTCGGCGACCATGTCATCCTTCAGGCGGTCGGCGGTGTCACCCTCGAGGGCGCGGGAGGCGAAGTTGTCGACGTACACGAGGTGCGCGCCGGCGCCCGGGCTCGGGCCGGCCCTCCGGTCCGCGATCCTGGACAGCACTGGCAGCCCTGCGCGGTCGGCGGCCGCCTCCGACACCCGCTGGCGGACGGCCAGCGCGCGGGGCCAGCCCATGGGCAGCGCCGCGAGCCGCGGCCAGAGCCGCTGCAACGCGGCTGCCCGGGGGCGGCCCCCCGCCCAAGCCTCCAGGAGTCCAGCGGAGGGAGCGCGAAGTACGGCCTCCAAGCGCCCGGCAACTGCACGTTGTAGAAGGCGTCCGCGACGTCCGCCGAAGCGGTCCACAAGTTGGCGCCGCCCGGCAGCTCGATCGCCGCCAGCGCCGCGCCGGTGGCCAGGCGGGCGCCCTCGGGGTCGCCGAACTGGAAGTTGGCGGGGCGGGCGTCCACGACCAGCCGCTGCTTCCCACTCTTCATGGCCGCGCTGAACAGGCCAACCTCGTCGACCACCAGGGCGGCGTCGCTGACGAGGTCGACCACCCCGGCCTCGCGGAGACGCCTCGCCAGCGCTGCGTAGCGGCGAGGGTCTCGAAGGCAGGGGTCCGAGTAGGGCGTCTTGGAGCCAGCGCTCTGCCTCCGCTGCAAAACTTCGGTCTTTGGCAAGACCTTGCACGAGATAACGCGATAGACGGAGTCGAAAACCTCGGCCCCCAGCAGCCGCTCCAGCGCCACGGGGTGGTTACCTGGAAGAGGTAGCGAGAGCCGGGAGACGCCCGTCGCCTCCGCCCTGGTCGATAGCGAGCCGCCGTAGGACAGGGCAGCCTGGAGCTCCTGCAGGGCTGCCAAAGGCTGTAGGTCGCCTGGCGGGGGACCCCGCTGGGAGACGGAGTCCGCGACCCGCGTCAGGCACTGCTGCTGCGCGAGCGTCGCGCCAGCCCGCGGCAGCGAGCCACCCTGCGCCCCAGCACCGCTGAGGCCATTGAGCGCCTCGACCGTCTGCCGCATGATCGAGGGCGCGGACGCCGCGCGCCGCGCGCGCCGCCGCGCGGCTCGGGAACAGACGCCAGCAGCCAGCCCGCCAGGGTCGACGGCGCCAGGCACCGGCAGCGGAAAGAGGTCACGCTGCCGCTCCGCGCCCGAGCCGTCGAAAGTGCCATGCACACCCTCAGCGCCACTGACAGTCGCCGAGATGGGCCCCTATGCTGCAGCGCCCGGGGGAGCTGGGCCACAGGGCCCCCCCGGGCATGAAGGAGTCATGCATGCCTTGGCTCCGCCGGCTTTCGGCCCAGCGGCGGCCTTCGCCTCCTCCCGCAGCTTGCGGGCGTTCTTCTTGATCTGACTGTTGCGCTCGAGCTCCTTGCCGACCACGTCAAGCAGGGCGGGGCACGCCATGCTGCTTGGGCGACTCGACGGACACGTGCCGCCCGTGAAGGCGGATACCTCCTCCACCGGCAGCTTCAGCTGCCCCGCATCCTGCTCCCGTTGCTTGCGCCGAGGAGGTTCGTCACGCTCACCTCGTCGTGCGTGGTGAGGTCCTCGAGCACGGTGGAGAACGCGTGGTGCTCCGAGACGCCCCAGTCCGAGGAGTTGAGCCTCTTGCGGGACTTCCAGCTCTCGCGGCGCTGAATGGGCCCGCCCTCCCGCAGCAGCCACGCCGCGCACCGGCCCGCGGACCTCGGCTGCAAAGTGATGCTGGGGTCTGCCACCTCCACCGCCGACGCGGTCACTGCGAGCCAGCTCCGTGCCAGGCGAACGCCCGGCGTGCGCGCCAAGATCCTCGCGTCGGCCCCCCGCCACTTGTCGATGAAATCACCTCGCCGCCAGTCCTCCAGGAGGAACGCCATGGCGGAGGCACCTCCGACGAGAATGACGGTCGCTCGCCGGCCCGCTCGCGCTGCCAAGATCGCGCCACCGATCGGGCCGACTTGCACCACCGAGCCGTAGGCGAGGCCGCCTGCATCCTCGGCGAGCACCCACGACCAGCCCGCTGGCGCCTCGCCGTACGTTCGGCCCGAGGGGGGCGCCGCCGTCGTCCTTCCATGAAAATCCTGGAGGCGCGTCGACGGCCGGGGGGGCGCCCGGCGCGATGGGCACGCCGGCCGCCGGGCCTGGCACCGCCGCGGCGAGCGGTCCGTCGGGCGCGGGCTGCCCGGCAGCGGCCATCGCGGTAGCGGCGACCCCGGCCGCGGGCGGTGCGACGGCAGCCCCATCGGGAGGCGGCACGGGCCCGACGATGGCGGCTGGCGCGGCCGCGGGCGCCACGAACCCCGGCAGCAGGCCGCCCGCCATCGGCACCAGGGCGCCGCCAGGCGGCACGGGCACCCTTGGATGGCGGCGGCCGAACTCGGCGTCGGCCTCCGCGACGGCGGCCGCCAGCCAGGCCGCCTCACGCGCCGCCGAAGGGGCCTGGCGGAACCTGTGCGTCGCGCCAAGATCGATCCCCGGCGGCGGCGGCCACCTCGTAGCCGAGAACCGCACCGCCGAGATGTCGGGCCCCGCCGTCAGCAAGGTCTCGGCATAGACCATGTCATCTGGGGTCACGATGATCACGTCACTCGTGAGCGCCAGCTGGCCTGCCACCCTCCTCTGGTTGAACAGCGGCGCGCCGACCACGTTGTAGAGGACCCACGCCCACGCCTCCGACATGAGGCCCAGCGGCGAGCGCAGCCAGCGGCGGCTGTGTCCCTGACGCGCTGGCGACCGTCACGGGTCGGCCGCGGCCCTCCGCAACACCCCCGTGCGGCGGCCAGAGCCGGAGCGCCGTGAAGGTGCCGAGGGCCCCGAGCGACGCGCCAGCCAGCGCGGCCCCTCCGCAGGCGAGTGCGACAGTGCCCGTGGTCGCGCCCACGGAGGCACCAGGGCAGGGCGGGCAGGCTGGGCAGCTGCAGCCCGGGCACGCTGGGCACGGCGGGAGCTCCACCGCCGGGCAGCGCGCGACCCAGGCCTGGAGCGCGGGGACGCCCCAGCGGTCGATGAGCCCCGCCCAGCCCGCGGGAAGCCCCAGGAAGGCCCCGGCCATGCGCCGCGGCCAAGCCGCGGCCCACCAGCTCGACAGCCGAAGGCTATTGACAAAAGACAACGCATTCAGCATTCGGCCTCTCCCTTCTCCTCTGAAGGCATTCATCTTCAATAGAAAAGTCCATCATCATCATCATCATCATCATCATCATCATCATCATCATCAGCATCATCATCATCATCATCATCATCATCATCATCATCATCATCATCATCATCATCATCATCATCATCATCATCATCATCATCATCATCATCATCATCATCATCATCATCATCATCATCATCATCATCATCATCATCATCATCATCATCATCATCATCATCATCATCATCATCATCATCATCATCATCATCATCATCATCATCATCATCATCATCATCATCATCATCATCATCATCATCATCATCATCATCATCATCATCATCATCATCATCATCATCATCATCATCATCATCATCATCATCATCATCATCATCATCATCATCATCATCATCATCATCATCATCATCATCATCATCATCATCATCATCATCATCATCATCATCATCATCATCATCATCATCATCATCATCATCATCATCGTCATCGTCATGGTCATGGTCATCGTCATCATCATCATCATCATCAGCATCATCCGCCTTTTCCTCCTCCTCCTCCTTCTCCTCCTCCTCTTCCTCCATTGTCCCCCTCTTGGGGTGTGACGGCTTCCCCAGCCCTTCATTCCCCTGCATGCTCCTCCATATCCCTGATCAGGGCAACTCGCCTTGGCATCGTTTCTGGATGGGCTAGTGCGTTTTTGCGAAGCGTCTGGCATGTGTCCTCCCTAGCCGTTCTTGTTACGGCCTCAGGGCCCCGGGCTCGGGGACGACCCCAGGGAGCCCAAAAACGGCGAACAACCTCAGGACCCGTCTCCCTCAGGACCACTTCCTCCATTAGAAGAAGCAATAGCGGCATAAACGTAATCGGTTGGCGCTCCGCGTGGACTTCTCGGATCCGCACTGGACCCCCTCCCCGGCGCGCGGAGCGCGCCAACGGCGGCGCCTGAGGCGCCGCTGGGGGACCCGGCGCGGATTCAAGAACTCCGCGCAGAGCGCCAAAAGTGTAAATACATGTTTACGGCGTTTGTGTTGTTTTTCTTCGATCCACGATCGCCCTCCCATTCCTGCTGGGCCGATTTTCCACCACCACTGCCACCTTCGGCATGAGAGGGAGGAGGAGGAGGAGGAGGAGGAGGAGGAGGAGGAGGAAGAGGACATGCCCATCCTCCCGTCTCCCCCGTCCTGCATCTGGCAATGGTGGAAGTGTCCAGGATGCCAGACGTACAACCAGAGCAGTTGGTGGTATTGTTCCAAATGTTCACGGCAGTGGCAACCCAAGCACAATTCGAAACCGCCATCGAGGCAGTCGTCGAGGGGGCGCAGCGAGGAGCTCAAAAAGGGTCACGTGCGTCAAGAGCTAGACAAGGTACCACCAGTTCCACCGCACGTTGCCTATCAGCACCATCTCTTCAAGCCTCCACCCGAGAATCCCGAGAACATGGCTGCGCACAGGAAGGAACTCAACTCCAAGCTACAGGACCTAGGGGCCCTTCTCTTGGCACAAAAGCGTGCCGACAAACACGACCCCGAGTTGCTTGTCGACATCGGGGTGACCAAGTTTTCGATCTCGGCCATGCGCTCCCCGAGGCACCAGCTCACTGGCGTGCGCATGAAGCTAGACCGGGAACAAACCAAGAAACGCATCCTTTTGAGCAAGATCGCCGAGCTGCAGGAGGAGCTGGCTTTGGTCGATACTACCATCATGCAGCTGAGGGATTGCGAGTAGCAGCTAGAGGAGATAAAGCAGGAGGAGGCCGAGCAGCAGGAGGAGGGGGGCGATGCCGCCATGGCTGCAGGAGATTCTGGTGCAGCAGCGTCTGGTGGTGGTCCTGTGCGGCGGCATGTCTTGCCAATGCCGCCGGCAGGCAGAACAGGAGCACAAACTCAACTGGCTCAACAACCAGAACGAGCGCCTCACCAAGGAGGTTTCGGCGATGCGAGCTGCTCAGGACACCCAGTCGCAGATGATGCAGCAGATGATGAGGTGCATGCAACACATGACTCTGAATGCAGCAACGACTGGGGGCAAGGGGGGCAAGGGCACGGGTTTCATGGGAGACTGGTACATGCAGGAGGGGGTCATACGGGAGGGCTCTGCGGTGTATGGTACTGCGACGCCGTCAGCTCCGCCGATGCCAGCCTGGAGTCCCACGGCGGAGGCAACGAAGGCGGAGGACTCGGGCGACCAGGCAGCTCAGGCCATCATCGCGGCCCTGCTGCGTGCTGCTTCGGCGGCCCCGTCGGCTCTGGAGATGGTCTCGCCGACGCTCACGCCCACGGATGTGGTCCACACCTCCCAGATCGTGCCGTCCCCCACGGATCTTGCATCGCCAGAGGCCCTTACTCAGGACGCTCGTGGTACAAAAAACGGGGTTGCGATGGGCCTCGCCCCGATGCCCAAAATGCAGCGTCTCGACGGCTACGAGACGGAAGAGATCCCGTACCTACCACCAGGCCCGGTAGCATAACATCCAAAGTGTCATTTGGAAGTGTTCAGACGGTGCCCTTTTCGGACGGTTCTGTTTTGCATGACGGTTTTCGTGCGAGTTTAGGGGCAGTGAGGCCAGCAGCCTTTTTGCAACATGATGGTGGGAGGGGGAACTCACCGTCTTCTTTCTTAGGTTGCGCCTCCGATCATGTACAAAAACTCCCGGACACTTTTGGAGCTTCACTTGAAGCTCTCACCCGTTTCTGGCGGGGTCTAATAGATGGTTTCGCTTTAGCTGCGAATGCACGGGCTGGGGCCCCAGGGTGCGCGAAGGAACCGCGGGAATCTCCGAAGGTCTCCATATCTGCGTTGTTCGGCGGATTAGGCAATGCCTCTTCCCAAGGGCCCCAGCTTTTGAATTCTGGGGACACTCCATGTTTCACGATGTTGCGTGGAGTTCAATGCCCAACTAGCACGGTAACCGGGCCCCCAAACCCGACAGGTCGCCAGGATGTCAGGAGCTACACAGGCACACGGCTGGGCTCGAGCTCGAGCGTTGTCCCACTTTCCGTGGGAACTCTCACGTGCCCTTTTGCTCAGGTCCCAAGGTTATGGCAAGTGATCACGGGGAATCGCATGCCGGAGCCTCGCACGGACCTGCCTGACAAGATGCTGGTGCCCGCGGTCTCCAAGTTTCACGTGTACACAGACGGCTCAGCTCGAGGGGATGAAAACGAGCTTGCCTCTTGGGCCACGGCTTTTCTTTCCGAGGGCCCTCGCGGTTTCACTTTTCAGGGGTATTTCAACGGTCGGGTTCAAGATACTTTCGGGACACCCCCTCTTAACCCCAGCTACCACAGCACTGATACGGAGTATGTCGCTGTGGCATGGGCTTTAATTTATTGTTTACATGCTCTTCAGGGGCACTTTGATGTACCGATTTGCATATACTCAGACTCCCTCGCGGTAGTCTCGGGTTTGAGGGGTGATTTTCAAATCCAGCTGGCTGATTGCATCGGCAAGCAGGTCAAGATTCTCTGGGACGTGGCCCGGACGAGATGCGATGTCAATATCTTCCATGTCCGGGGTCACGACTATCATCCGTGGAATACGCTCGCCGATTTTGTAGCGCATTCCACTCTAGACGGCGTCATCCCTCCCAGGCTAGGCCTAGATTGTTTTCTGGAAGCCACCAGGTACATCAAGGAACGGGAGTGGGAGTGGTTGTGGACTGCCCCTGCGCAGGTGCAGGACGCTTATCCGAGCTGCACGGCTCGAGGTTTTCAAGACACGGCCCCTCCTACCAACCCTGCCCCACCCCAGCGTGCACCAGAGAGGCCACCTCGCGAGGCTCGTGCCAACCTTAGCCTGAGGGTTGCACAGTACAACGCTCGCTCCTTGGCGGAAGCTGCGCGGCAAGGCGCGGAAGGCCGGCGGCGTAAAGCAAGATTGCAGGCGATTCGGGCCCAGTTCGCACTGGACAAAGTGCATCTTCTGGGCATGCAGAAGGGGAGGAACAAACGGGGCGTGAGACAGTCGGGGGACTTTTTCGTTGTCTCTGCGGGGTGCCAAGACGGCAATCTAGGCGTTGAGCTTTGGCTTGACGTCAAGGCGCCATATGGGCGTCTGGGGAGTAAGGATTTGGTTCTTTCTCCCAGCCACGCGCGCGTTCTTTTCAGCGACCCGCGCATTCTCATAACCCGGATCCAGGCACCATGCTTGGATGTTGTTTCCATGGTCATCCATGCCCCGCACACGGGCGCTCCCAGGGAAGAAGTTGTCGATTTTTGGACGCTCGCCACCCTCCAGGCTTTGAGATGGCGGCCAACCCTCGTCTTAGCAGACGCGAATGCAAGATTGGGCGATCATGTGTCGGCGCACGCAGGGGCCGAGGGTTTTGTGCAGCCAGAGGACTTTGCAGGGGGTCTTTTCCATGCGTTCCTGCAGGATGCAGGCCTGTTCGCCTTGAACACCCTCCAGTCCCCCCTGAATTGCGACGATCAGTATACGTGGGAAGGGAACGGCGGACACCGGCATCGCATTGACTACGTGTGCTCCCAGGAAACGTGGATGTTGTGTTGCTCCCAGGTGTTTGTCCAACACGAGTACGACAACATGGCCCGCGCTACGGACCATCTCCCTGTATACGGATATTTCCAGTGGGCGCTCACGGTTACACGGAAATCTCAAGGGGGCAAGCCGCTCGATCGGAATAGATTTTCTGACCAGGGGGCACTCCAAGATTTCAATGAACGTTTAGCTTCCATTCCTATCCCGGGGTGGCACGTCGGGTTGAACGACCATTCAAATGAGGTCACGGAGCAGATTCTTGATGCGGCTAGGGGGGCTTTTGGGATTCGTAACATTCGGCCCCGCAAACCATACCCTTCAGAGGCCTCTTGTGCCCTTATCCGGCTTCGCCGTTTAATCCGCCGTGTCCTCACGAAGACTAATGCGATTCTGGGGAACCC